TATACTTGCATACTTATTTTTTAAAATCCATTCAGTCACTCTACGTCTTTTGATTGGGGAGTTTAATCCATTTACAGTGAAAGTAACTACTGATAGGGAAGAACTTACTATTTCCATTTTGTTCATTATTTTGAGATGTCTTGTAGTTTACTCTTCCCCCTTTTCCTCTCTTGCTTCCTTCGTGTTTCATTGGTTTTCTGTAGCAACATGCTTTGATTTCTTTCCCATTTTCTTTTGTGTATCTTCTATAGGTATTTTCTTTGTGGTTACCATGGGAGTTACATGAAACGTTTTATAATTATAACAATCTATTTTAAACTGATAACAACTTAACTTCAATCACATACCAAAACTCTACTCCTTTATATCTCCCCCTCGTTATGCTGATATCACAAATTAAATCTTTTTATATTTTATATCCATTAGTTTTATCATTAGTTATCTTTATGCTGTTATCTTTTAAGTTTTATATCTGAATTAAAAGTGATTTATGTACTACCATTACAGTATTACAGGATTTTATATTTGTCTATATATTTACCTTTACCAAGAGCTTTATATTTTCATATGCTTTCATGTTATGTCTAGCATCCTTTCATTTCAACTTGAAGGACTCCCTTTAGCATTTCTGGTAAAGTAGGTCTAGCAGTGATGTACTCCCTCGGCTTTTGTTTATCAGGGAAGGTCTTTATTTCTCCTTCATTTTTGAAGGACAGTTTTGCCAGATACAGCATTCTTGGTCAGCAGTTTTTTTTTTCTTTCAGCATTTTGAATATATCATCCCACAGCCTCCTGGCCTGTAAGGTTTCTGCTGAGATATCCACTGATAATCTTATGAGAGCTCCCTTGTATGTGACAATTCACTTTTTTCTTGCTGCTTTCAAGATTCTCTCTTTGCCTTTGACTTTTGACAGTTTTATTATAATGTGTCTCGGTGTGGGCTGCTTCAGTTCATCCTAATTGGTGACCCTTGAGCTTCTTGAATTTGGATGTTTATTTCCTTCCTCAGGTTTAGGAAGTTTTCTGCCATTATTTCTCACAGATTTCTGCCCTTTTCTCCTTACAGTTCTCCCATACTGCATATATGAGATGGTCCACTTGTTCATGTCCCATAAGTCTCTCAGGCTTTTTATAATCTTTGCCATTCTTTTATCTTTTTGTTCCTAACTCAATAATTTCAAATGATTTGTATTCAAATTCATTGATTCTTTCTTCTGCTTGATTGAGTCTGTTGTTGAACTCCCTCTAGAGAATTTTTCAATTTAGTTATTATTCTTCAGCTCCCAAATTTAATTGGTTCTTTTTTATACTTTCTCTTTTTCTTTTTTTTTTGATATTTACATTTTGCTCATGCATCATTTTCCTGGTTTAATTTAATTCTCTATGTTCTCTTGTAGCTTATTGAGTTTAACACAAATACTTTGAATTCTTAGGTAATTCAAAAATCTCAGCTTCTTTAGGTCAGTTTCTGGATATTTATTTTGTTCCTTTGATTGGGCTATATTTCCCTGTTTCTTTGTATGCCTCATTATTTTTTGCTCGGATTAGGGCATTTGAAAAAATAGCCACCTCTCCCAGTCTTTATGACTGACTCCATACAGGGAAAGACCTTCATCAATCAGCCTGGCTAGAGATTCTGGGAGCCTCTCAAACCTTTTCTGGGGACATGTCTTCCTTGAGCTTGTGCATGTAACTTCCCAATTAGAGAGTTTTGCCAGTTTCTTTTCCAAGACCTTGTAACCTCTTTCTCCCTCTGCTGTCCGTCTGCAGTACCATAGGTTCTTTGGCACAGCAACAAGAAGCTGAGCTCTCATTTTGTCTCAGTGGCCCCAGGAATCCAAAGTAAGCCAGTTCCTTAGCACTCCCAGTTAGGTGAGACAGAAACCAGTCCCTCAAGTGGCTTCTCAAAAAGCTGGAATGGAGCCACCTGATGGCCTAGCGGTTAAAGTTCGGTGCTCTCACTGCTTTGATGGCCCGGGGTTCATTTCCCGGTCATGGAACCACACCACCCATCTGTCAGTTGCCATGCTGTGGCAGCGGCTCACGTAGAAGAACTAGAAGGACTTACAACTAGGATACATAGCCATGCACTGGGACTTTGGGAGGAAAAAAAAAAGAGCAAAACTAGCAACAGGCATTAGCTCAGGGCAAATCCTTCCCTGTGGAAAAAAAAAAAGGTGGAATGTTGGATACATGTTCCACTCTTCTATTTCCCTCCTGATGGAGAAGTCATGAGTTTGGTGTTTATTACCAATTATGCCAAGGTGTGCCACTTGGGAGAATGGCTATTGCGGGTGAAACAGCTTTCCTTACCCATCTCAATGCAGCTGTTCTTGGCTTTGCACTTGCCTAGGACACTGTAACTTCCTAACTGGTTTCTGGAGTTGTCATAAAGGCTTTTTGGACCATATATTAAGTCAATATCTCTGTGGGGATACAAGGTCTAGGGCTTCCTTTCGGCCATCTTGCTGGCATTACTCCTCTTATGTTTGCCTGGGCACCCCGTTTGTGACTGGCACCTGAAGTGCGGGCAGTCCTGTGGGATTGAGCCCTTAACTTGCAGGGTCTGTGCTAACTTCAGGTAGTTAGTGTCAGAACTGAACTGAACTGTAGGATACCCAGGTGGTGTCAAATAACTGGAGAATTCCTTGGTATCAGAAAAAAAATACATGGGGATATATTTTTTTCTAAGACAAAAATGGAAAGGTGTAGGGATTATCACTCTTAATTATAGTTATAAATTGTCTATTTCCTGTAAAGTTTCTTAGCATACCTTCTTGCCACATCAAACAAAATGTCTATGAATTACACCATGGGGCAAAACTCTATTTATTTTTTAAAACACCATTGCTATAAAACAACTTTGTTTTTAAAAAGTATTATTCAGGGGCCAGCTGGGTGGCATAGCAGTTAAGTGCATGCACTCCACTTCAGCGGCCTGGGGTTCACAGGTTCGGATCCCGGGCATGCACTGATGCACCGCTTGTCAAGCCATGCTGTGGTGGCATCCCATATAAAGTAGAGTAAGATGGGCACGGATATTAGCCGAGGGCTGGTCTTCCTCAGCAAAAAGAGGAGGATTGGCAACACATGTTAGCTCAGGGCTAATCTTCCTCACAAAAAAAAATAAAAATAAAAAAATAAAAGTTAAACAAAAAGTATTATTCATCTTCAATCAATAAGCTTAGTATTAGCTACAGCCAAATACGTGGCAAAGAAGATTTAAAAAAAGATTTAAGTAGTTACAAGGAAACACTAAGTCACACCAGGTATTACTTTAAAGTTTAAGTAATTGGTACAGAAAAGGGGTAATTTCAAGTAGCACCATGACTAACAGTAGGCCACTGGGAGGCTGGGGAGGGAGTGTGTGTAATAAAGTCTCTTGGTTATAATAAAGTTTGCTGCCGTAACACAACACAACAAAACTAAACAAGACAGAATACATATTTTTCTTTCACCTAAGTCCAGGAGAGCAGTCAAGTGCTAAACAACACCTGGAATCTAACCTCTTTCGTCTTGTTCCCTTGCCACCTCTGGATGCTGCTCTCCACGGTGCGGAAGATCGCCCACCACATCCACTAACCTATGTGAAGTGGGTAAGAGAGGAAGCAAGGGCACATTCAGGAAGGGGCACATTGCTTCCTCTCACATGTAATTGGCCAGAACTTGGTCACAGAGCCACTGCTGGTGCAAAGGATGCTGGGAACTGTAGTCTTTGGTTAGGCAGCTGTGCACCCAACTAAAACTTGATACTGAGGGAAAATCAACAGTCTCTCTCAGAAGGGTACCTGTTAGAGCCCAGGCTCCGTCAAACTAAGATGATGAACACCATCACACACAGTTCTTTCTATCTACAAAAAACATCACCCAGTTCCTTTTAGCCTCTATGCTCTGTTAGGATTAAGATGATGAATATGATCGCTGCTGTTCTTAATGTCTTCTCCTTGACTATAAAATCATTTCTTCGTGGAATGAGATAAAGGACCAAACACGACAATTTATGTGAAAGCCCTTAAAGCTAGACAAATGCACACTTGTTAATAAAAGGGAAGCCCAAGACGAATATAAAAGAGCTCTATGACACTGCCGTTTATTTCCAAATTTCGCAATTAAGACTTCCTATTTGTACCCTAAATCACAACAAAGTCTATATCACAAACCTCTAATGAATTAATTTTACCCTAGAATTAGAAGAGACTTCAAAGATCCTTTAGTCTAAACTAGGTGTCAGCAAAAAATGTCCCACAGATCAGACCAGCCCATTTTTGTAAATAAAGTTTTACTGGAACACAGCCACTCTCGTTCACTTACATATTGTCCATGGCTGTCTGCATGCTACAACTGCAAAGTTGAGTAGCTGTGACAGAGACCGAATGGCCCGCAAAGCCTAAAATATTTAATGTCTGGCCCTTTACAGTAAGTTTGCGAACTCCTGCTCTAAACCCCTCACTTAAAACAGGGGTTCTGGAGAGAGAATAACTAACTTATTTGCCTCAAGTCACAAAATAGTGACACTGTTGGGACCCAGATGCCTGCTGACTCCTGGAAAGAGACCTTTTCAACACCACCATGCTACCTACTCCCCTTTCCCTGGTTCACTTATCAATCAATTCATGAGCTCTGAAATGGAGAGCCAGGTTCCCGCAGATTTCTTACAGCGCCACAAATGATGAGCATTTCAGCCTCCCCTCTCATCACATCACCTGCTAGGCTCTTCAACCTGGATGTCAGATGCTGTCTCAAAATCTACATGTCTGTAATCAAACTCATCCTACTGCTCCCAAAGCCACAGTGCCCTCAGGCTTCCCTGTTGCTCTCAGAGGTGACATCTTTGCCCTGATCACTCCAGCTGCCCTTCAGCTATGGAGCCTCACCTCCACAGGCACCAACTCTCTGTGACTGGCTTGGGCGAGCTCACTTCTTCCCACCTTTCTTGACTACTATTCAATCCAGAATTCAGGCTCTTATTTCACATCTGAACTTCCACACTAGAATCCTACCTGTTTTATCCGCATCTTGCCTCTAGCCCCTCCTCCTCAGACAAGTATTCCTTGTAAAATATCACAAAGCCCTAACTTAGAAGTCATTGATATTTATCTAAACAGTGAAGTCTAAACTCTTTACTGGGGCTTTCCCAATTCTTCCCTATACAAACCTCCTGTGCCAGTTAAATCAGTTCATTTTCTATCTCCTAAATCTGTTTTGAGTCTTCTTGCTCCCAAAGCATTGCATTTCCTCCCTTTCTCAATATCTTTTCTCAAAAGCCAGCTTAAATTCTACCTGCTCCTCCTCAAATAATTAAGTAAAAAAGAAGGTGTATAAAGAAAAGGGTAGGTGTATATATGACAGTTCTTTTTTTCTCACAATGTTCTAGTACTTTTCACTTGCTAATTCACCAGAGAACTGTTTACCTCCCACAGTAAGACTTCTAAGAATATACTCATTATTACACAGGAAAAAAGTAAAACAGAATACTATGATGCTTGTTATATTGGAATTTGAGGAAAAACACAATTTTATCAATGCTTTTCTAAGGCACTGATTGTTGAAGCCCTAGTATTTTTTAATATAAAATATGAATATTTGGAAAATGAAGAAAAATCATATCACAAATTTATGATAACTTGTAAGGTAAGAGAAACAGTGTAGTAAAATTATAAACTCAGAGAAACTTGGATTCAAATTCCTATTAGTGGCTACGTAACTTTACACAAGTTGTTTAACTTCTCTAAGTTCCTCAAATGTAAAATAGAGTTGATTCTCCTTTTTTGAGGCAGCTACGTTATAAAAAGTCGCCATGAACAATGCATTAGCAAATACTGAATCACTGTTCTTAGGAGAGGTACAGAGTCAGGTTCCCGCGAGACTCTGCTCACAGAATTTCCGTCAACCAATACATAACCTTGTTTCACGTATGTTTCTGTATAAAGACAGCTTATTTAATATATACTGTCGACTCATTAACATTGAACTCACGGCCAGCACACTACAACTCACGCCTGAACAAAGCTCATCTAACACGAGTTTTCTCCATCAGGCACATCACAGCCTTCTTGCCCTGAGGAACACTAGGCAGCACTTCAGCACTAAGCTTGGGGCTATTTAAAACAGCAAAATCACCAATTAAAAAGTACAAAAATATGAAAAACATGGCACTAAACAGACAGCGGAAAGGACACTTGTTCACAGCGTGAGAGGTGGACCAAGAAGGCAGTGTGGCCCTGGTCCACCTGGGGATGTGTGCCTCGGGCAACTCAAGTGTGTGCTGCTCTCCACATCTGTGAGCGACTGGGAAAGCACCACAACGAGTGGTGCTAGTGAGTAGGTGAGTAGTTAGTGAGTAGGTGAATCTGCAAATAGGGAATCTGAGAATAACAAGGATCAACTGTATCTACTCTTCAGGGTTATTGCGTATTTGCAACAACACATGTAAAACACTATAACAGTGCCTGGCACATGGCAGGAACCAGCATTATCACCCAGTATTATATCCTCCAAGCTGAGACGCAGTCCCTTATTTTAAAAAACACCTCTACTGAGTAAAGTATCCATTTACTGTATATTATAGCAAGCACTCATGAAAGGATTCAAGGTATCTTTCAAACGCTAGAACTGATCAATATCTGCCACTTAGTGTTGATAAAAATTTTGTACCAAATATTGTACTCCCAAATACAAGATTATAAAGCTAAACCATAATTGTCCTTCTTTAACATTTGTTACTATCCTGGAAAGTGAAAGCCCACATCAGGGGCTCCTAGGGACCCTCCCTCTGACTTGGCCCCAGGGCCTCTCCTTAGAATCAAACCCATCTCCCAGGTTCTCCATGAGCTTACCCTTCTTTTCGCCCTGCCTCTCGGGGTCCCTCCTCTCCTCGGGTTCTATATAAGCAAAGATGAGAACAGTCAGTCTTCCCTCAAAGCAGCTCCCACTAGACTTTTAGGGCAGAAACGTTGGTTTATCTGACTGTCCACAGTACCAAGACAGGGAAGAGCTCGCTCAACGTGGGATGAGCAAGCAGGCAAAATCAGACAAGCCGCCTGCATGAGCAGATAGGAAAACAACAAAGTTCACAGAATTCTTGTGGCTGTCCCTAGTCGGGATCTTGATCCACTCTGAGGTAACAGATGAAAGCCCTCTTGAGCTTCAGTCTTCAGTTTTAATCCTAAAGCTGGGGCTTACTAGCACCAGCTACACGTACAGGTATATCTCACTCCCCAAACCCAGACGAAAGGCAAAGTCAGCCATTCTTCTCAGCAGATGATCTAATAGAGGCAGAATAAATACCTCACAGCCTCACCTCACCAGGACAAAGTACCCATCTAAGGAAGAGCTGAGCGAGGTAAGCACAGTTCACTCGACCACAGCCTTAGAACTGGACAGGTGAGTTAGACCCCATGTTCATTGATCTTCGGTTTGATTCAATTTGAAACCCACAGAGTCTAACTCAAATGTAATGATGAGTAGCAATTTTTTAAGAATATTCTAAGTCATGCTACCTTAAGCTCTAGTAAAAAACAGTAAAAGTGAATCTTATCAATTGGATTTTAAATTCTTAGGAATAACAATTTCAATCTAAATGCTTCACATTAGCATTTACAGGTGAACACTATACAGAGTAGTATGCTAGGGCCCAAGAGAGACAGACACCAAGCTTCAATCATTTCTATCCTGCAGTAGCTCCCTGCACTAAAACGACATAGCAGAGAAGCTTGGAATTTGCCTAGCTAATTCCTAGAGAGGTTCCACTAGACTGGGCAAGTAGAAGAATCCACAAACACTCTTGGATGAGCTGATCTGAATTTGGGGGAAGAGTCTAGAGCTGTACTGTCCAATTCAGCAACCATTATCGAAAATGTAGCTATTGGGGAGCTGAAACAGGGCTTACACAACTGAGGAACTGCATTTTTAATTATTTAAATGTGAATTTTAAAACGATACTCAATTCAGTTATTGAAAAACTTTTAAATATGTTTGGAACAACTTGGATAAAACAATATACTTTTTCAACTGCAAATTTTATAAAATCTAAATACTGATAAAGTACTTAACAATGAAAAGTTATCATCCAAATTGAGATGTGCCAGTAAACGTAAAATACACGCCAGATTTCAAAGACTTAGTATGAAAAAAAGTAAAATATCTCATTAACAAATTTTTATATTGATTACCTATTCATATAATTAATATTTTGGATATACTGAATTTAGAATGTTGCATTGAAATTAATTTAACCTTTTTTTAAACTTTTTTAATGTGGCTACAAGAAAATTTTTGCACTCTATTTCTACCAGGCAGCACTCCTCTGTCCCACAAGCCTCCTTTGAGTTAATGGAATCCAGGGGAGGAGTGAGTGTTTTACCTACGATCTTTTTTCTTTTCCTTCTCTTCTTTGACTCTTCTTCTCCTTCCCTCAAATAATTCTCATTTACTTATATTTGGCAAAAGTAGTCTTGCTGACTAAATTTCTGATTTAGCTCATATGAGTGTCCAATAAGACTAACCCTACAAAGAAGTATTTGCCACCCAAAAATGTATCTGTATCTAGAATCAATCAGTTCTTCTAAGGCTGAAGAACTATTCCCCTTTCCAGACCCAGTGAAAATGAAACTGGCTCTACAATTCCTTCCCTGACTTCCCTGCATTTAATTCCCTCAGCACTTCACACACGACTATACTACAGCATTTATCATCAGGCGGTGGTGTTATTTGAAAACCCTGCACCTAGTCCCTTCATTTCACAAGTATTGACCGAGGTGCATCAGCTACGTGCCTGGCACTTTTCTTGCCATTAGCGACACAGCAGTGGACATGAACTCCTTCTCTGTGGAGCTTGTGGTCTAGAATCTAGATGACTCTTAAGAAGAGATAATAAGTGCTCTCTCCATGCTCTCAAATGAGTAAAAGGCAAGAGGTCGGCATCATTAGTAGGACTCCAGCTGTCCTGATGTTTGGAATACCATTACTATCACCCCCCCACACCTCCTGTCAATTTGCATTGATTCAACCCCCTGGTTGAATCAATAAGGGCAACAAAGACTCTCAGGGTTGAGACTAGTTGGGAAGAGGGCTCAGAGGAGCCTGACTAAAATCTGGTCCAGGAGAGAGTTTTTGTCACCACTGAGTAGCTGTGTGGCCTTTCCAAGTCACCTTCTGCTTTGTGACTGGTTTCTGCACCTGGCAAGTGGTGGCACTAACCCACGCCAAGGGCTTATGATCATGCCTAAGCACAGCAGACAATAAACGTTAGACTTAGCATATCCTCACCCCAATTTTACAGTTAAAAAACAAAACTGAAGCTTGGCTAGGTCACATGGCTTGTACAAGGTCACCTGGCTAACAAGTGACAGAGGTGGGACTCAACCAAGGTACACCAGAAACCAGTGTCCACATCTAAACTACCAGGCTGTATTTTCACGAAAATGCAGTTATCCTGACTACAGCTTAATACATCTAATGATGTGGCACCAGGGCTGGTGGGGAAGTTTTTAGAAGTCTTCATTTAGGCTTGTAAACATATGAAAAGCTATTTAATATTGTCCATGAGAGAAATATAAATTAAAACCAAATTAAGATACTCCTTTCACCCATCAGATGTAAAATTTGGCAAACATACTGCATCATATCGTATTGGCAAGCCTGTCATGAAAGACATTCTCATATACTGAGAGTTGAAATGTACATTCATACAACCTGTTTGGGAGGGCAATTTAGAGATATCTACCAAAATTACAAATGTATATGCCCTTGGACTCAGATATGTGAAATGACTTATGCTGCATGTTTGCAATGGAAAGAGACTAGAAATAACCTCCTAAAGGTCATCAACAGGGGACTAGTTTTTTAAAAGTCTATCTATCCATACAAGGAAATATTATACAACACTGAAACACACACATACACACATGCACGCACGTACACACAAAAGAATGAAGAAGCCCTTCATGTATCAATAAGATCCAAAATGTATTGCTAAGCAGAAAAATAAAGCTATAAGTGTTTAAAAGTTGTTAAC